TATTGCTATTTCAGATATTAGCAGATATGAGTACGCTACAAAATATTTATGAATCAAGATTAAATTAAAAAAATTCCTCCATTTAATTTTTTATGTCATACTTCCCAAACATACTGAAATAAAGTTTCTGGACCACCTACAAAAGAGTGTATTTTAACACAAATTAAAATTAATCCTCAGCATACACAGAGACAGAAATGCCTCCTGGCAATGTAAAGTCCCAAATTTTGGTATTTATACATCTATACCTGGCTCATTTGCACTCTACATACTACCAGATATTGGTATGCTTTTTAACTTTCCAATCAGTAAAGTGAAAAAAGGAAAAAGCCTGCTGGAAATTCTCTGCTCTCACCTATCACTGTGAAATTCTTGCTTGCTTTCATATAGGTCCTCAGATATTCAACTCTTTTGAAAAATGGATTATATTAAAATGAAGAACGTTGACCACTTTAACTGAAATTAATTTCAAAGTATGTTTCCAAGACTTTTTATACAAATCCCCTTAGTCTTCCTACTTGGTGCTATTCTTCAAATTAAAAAACAAAAAAAAAGTGATATTCCCAACATGCCAGGTGACTAAAAGTACTGAGCACTGGCAGCTGCTGCAGCTTTCCAAGGGACTTAAAACGCTTTGTCTAAAGTAACCAGTGATTTGCGGGGTCTTCGTATGGGTTTGTGAATGATATTTAGGCATTCAAGTTTGTAACTTCTGGCTAATGAATTTTCTGTGACAGAAATAAAATGCTTTCAATGTCAACTTTCTCCAAAGCAAAATCTGTTCTCTAGATGAGGGGTTAGGTTCAGGCTTTTGGGAACTATCATCACTAGTTGCTTTAACTGACAGAAAACTGGTTTTATTGTGACCATACTGAATAGTTAGCATGATAAATGGGCTGTGTCTCTAAGTACACATGCAGCGCTCCTTAACTATTTCTTCCCTGACTAGCACAAAAACCCCAAGAAAAAGCTCTTAAGTATTCTGATCAAGGTTATAGAAAATGAACAGATATCACCTCTGTGTTCTAGATAAAGTAATGCGTAAAATACGAAAGGAATGCCAACTTTTCTGAGAAACACAGAGTGGCTTAAACTTTTTTTTTTTTTTAATCAGAAATGTGAATTTAAAGTAATAGCAGAAGGCACTCTTGATTTCAACTTAGAGGATTGGATCTCTCAGAAACCCTTACATTTTTCCTCAAGATGATCTTCTGAGTGTCCTCTGCTGTAATTCATCGTCATTTCATTATCAAGAAATGCGAGTTATGCACATTATCCTAGAAGGACGTGACCTACATCATAATACAGACTCTGTGTTTACTGCATCACACTAGCATTAAACTATTCTTGTGCTCCTTGTCTTCTCCTTGAAAACTTCCATATAATTCCGCTTTTTCACAACTCTTCACTTGTTTTATCCTTCACCCCCTTCCTACTGCTTCTGCACATCGTGTGAAGTCACCCGAAGGCCTCCCGCTTCCTCCTCCTCACTGCACCTTCAAGCAGGCTCCTGCGCTAACCCCCTTCCATTCCAGCACTCCAGTACTAATGGAACGACGACAAACCCCTCCTTGTTATTTTATAAAGGTGCATTCCCTACTCGCTGCATATGCATAAAACATACTGTGATCATGTATACTTTGTATTGTTCAAATTATCTTACTGATTACTAATTAAGACCACAAACAGCCCCACTCAAAGTCCACTGCAGGATCAGATCCTTCGGTTTGAATCCTGTGAGAAATGTCTTTCTTCTCCTGCTTACTTCATTTAACAGCTGTCTGATTTCTGTCATATTTTCTCCATGACCTATTGCGCAATAGGCAATTCATGTATCCAAAAAGCTCCACGTGCACCTATTAAGCACAGCTAACAAGGAAAAGGCCAAAGGCCCATTCAGAACTTCCTCGAATGCTGCGTTTCCCGCCTCCAGCCACCATTAACCTGATGATACCAGTAAGCCTCAGCCAGCGTGACAGAAACAGGTTTAGTACATCTGACTTAACAGTTCACTAAACAATGTGCAAATTCTAACTAGCTGGCTAGCAGCTTACTAATGACTAACTTTGCTTCCCATTAAGTCTACGCATGCACATACTGTAAAATGCCAAAAGGTGGCATATTAGCAAGCATCCTCAAACATTCAAATAAGGGTAAACTATGGTAACAGTCATACCTCTTGCCACCTTCCATGAAAAACACTTTCCAGCCCTAGCATTGCAGGGCTCCACTTTTTCTTATCTCAATGATTTTCATATCCAGTGCCTTTGGATGACAACACACTCTGTGCTGATACAGATATTCTTGGACTGCACCCTTCTAAACTCTGCAGACAAGATTCAGGTCACCTATTTTAGGCACGTATGCAACTTGGACTTTGCAATGCCAGTAAGTCAGGTGTTGGGAACCAGCAGGACATTAGGCTCCTTGACTCCAAGAAACAACGAAGAGAGGAAAGCACCTCCAAAAAATGAATTACTGTGATTAACATATCTGCCTCACTCCTCAGTCAGCAGACAAATTGTAGATTTGCAGCAAAGAGGCGAATCAGTGTTTCTGCATCTTGAGCTGGGAGGTGATCAGAGCTAAGTAAGGGAAAACTGAGCACAGGACCACGTCTGAATTTTCCCCTCTTTGACTTGTAGGTGACTATATTTAAATTTGCTCATGTGTTTTGTTCTTCAACAACACTGTTAATTTCCCAAATATACTAGCCATCCCCTTGCCAAAGGGAACATGTGTTACTGCTCCACTCATTTTAGAAAGAAGCTCTCGCCTTGTCTTTTCATCCTTGTTCTTGACAGGGTCCTTACTGCTGTTGATTCTCCCTACTAAACTTGGAAAATTTTTCCTCCCACCTCCTCCAGTGTTGAAATAAGTTCTCTCACTAACCACCTTCCCTTCTCCTTAAAGGATAACGGACTATAAACTGAGATGGGTACAGGTAAACAGGTGTACAAGCAGTCAGGAGGGCAACATCCGGACACCAGTTTTACAGTGTATTCCATCCCTGATTTATACTGGCTTTTAAAATTTTAATGAGCTATTCCACAGTTCCTTTTAAACATTAATTGCTTAGACTCCTAATCGTAACTCTTACTCCAGGTGAAGGAGGATGTTACTCTCGGAGGCTTCTATGAGTGCTGCTCTGTGCAGAAACCAGGAGGGGGCAATGGAAGAGCTGAGTAACTGCTGTCGCTGGTGCTGCTCTGCTCCCGCAGGGTCTGTATTCCAGCCCTCACGGAAGGACTACGCTGAGAGGTTGCTGTCTTTTTCACCTGCATGGTTTGAGCTAATTTTTTTCATTACTAACTACAAAAAGCCTAGGCCATCCATCGAGCATTACATGCCACAGCTTAAATAAATGAACTCCCTATATAGATTTTAAACGTCTTCCACACCATTTCCTCCTTATTGAAGATAAATTCACTAGAGACTAACCTGTGAATGCAAGTTCTTTACATGGAGTCTGTTAGTGACCATACTGAACACAGTTGACCAAATAATGGGTTTTTGCTCATTAGCAATTTCAAAATGTGAACACAAACTTTCGTTCTTGATCTGAACTGTTCCATTTTGACAAAACAGAGCGAAGTCTCACACCATTATTGAAAAGTGTTTCATAAACCAACAGAAATTTGTGAGGCAGTTCATGTAGCTAATGGTGCATTTCTCACAGAAGAAAGATCGTGTTAAAACAGTCATCTAGCTGCAGCTCACCTTGGCCTACTACTTTTCTATTTTCACCTCAAGATTTTTACTCTTCCTTTTAAAAACAAAACCATACAAGTGAAAATAGTTACTGGATTTATTTAAACCCACATCTAATTAGAATATCTGTCAAAGTTTCCCCAAAATGTGTTATCTGAAAGTAATAGAGACAGCTTTAAAAATTAATTTAAAAACTCTGAATGGCATTTACTGAGAATATTAGGAGGTTTCAGTACCAGGGTACAAGATAGGTCTGCTAGCTCAAGCTTTGCTTATTCTGTAGTCATAAAATTTGCACACAGAATACAAATTAATACAAGTTAAGCACTCTCACCCTTAATCTTGTAGTGGAGATTTCAGCCTTCAGAATGTCAGGGTCATACTTTGTGCTTGATGAGGAGCCCGAGAACACTTTTTAAAAAAGACAAAAAAGGACAAGTACTTTTAAATCATTAATTAGTCCCTTCCTCTATGAATCTACATTGATCTAAAATTACAAAATGCAGAAAAACACACAATACTTTAAAAAAAATATCTTTTTATACACTGGTCAGCATTGCAGGGTGGCAATAATTAATGAATAATAAAAATTTGCCCCTTTTTTCCCCTACCACTATTTGGTATCTCTCTTCCTTTGCTTATCCCAGGACATAAAGTAGCACCTCATTCTCCCTGGCTTTCTATTCCTTGCTTTCTGTTCCCATTCTTCTAGCTGAGCCATCCTGCGTTCACCTCTTCCCAGAAGCTCTAATTTCTAAGGACATTTCTGGAAAGCAGAAGAAGATGTATTCAGAAAAGCCTCAGCAGTCCGCAACTCAGTTCTTCCACAGCTGTACATGTTACTTTTATCACACTACCAACCTCTAAGAGACATGTTTGGCCAATGCGAGCCTCTGACAGCACTTTACTGAATGCCAATTCCTTGCCCAACAATGTAACATGCATCTCTACTTCACCCCTGATCACAGCACACATGCTACAGAATTACGGTATGCTAGTCTTATAATGCAGCAACAAATTCCCTTCTTGGTCTGTTGCAGACACCTGTCAACACAGTAGGGTCATTTCAGTACAGAGCCACGAAGTGCAAGAGATCCTATTTACTTTGAACCTAGATTTGGCAGAGTTTTGTTCTGACAAACTGCATGACAAAATAGATTTTAGAGCCAGCTGCTCTAAACCACAGCTCAAAGGAGTTCAATTATATCAGAGAGAAGAGGGTTCTCTCCAGCAGAATATCTTTATATTAAATATAAAAAAAAAAAGTAGGGATGCTATCTCTAAAAAAGCCAGAGTACAAGGTGTTCATAGCAAACCTTGAAAACTCATCCTAAAGAGAAACAGGATCCCCTGCAAAGCACAGATCAAAGAGGTTACATTGCATTCTCTACTGTACTTACAGCTTGTACGAGAGCTTGATTTTTCTTTGTAGGCATCATTCAACCGAACGTACTCATCCAGTGCAAGTGCTAGCCTCTGTTCTTTCACCTGGTACAGTTCTTTCTGAGTACTGAGAGCATCCTGGGCTATCATGAGATAATCTTTTAACATTCTCTCTTGTTCTTGCCTCCATTGTTTCCTGGGATCTTCTATTTGTGTTGTTTCTTTGTAGGAGAAAAAGAAAGCATTTAGAGAGACCTCTGCTGAAATCTGTTGACAACTAAATTGTTTCTTTGCCTGTAATCCGCAGTTATAGAAATCTAAACCATAGCTTGCCTTTGGTTAATAAGCAGATGCTCAATTTTATTTAAGTTTTTCTTTGCCACAATAGTGTGTGTAAGAAACAGTATTTAAGGGATCAATTGCAAAATTAGGAATTAGGGTACAATAGGTAAATGTTTATGTAGATCATTCCCACATCTTCAGCCTTGAATTATCAACACCCTAGAGCTCAAGAAAAACTTATTTTTTGCATCAGATTATTTGGAAATAATTGGATCAATAAAGTCTTTCAATGACACCTTAAAATTGAATGCATATCTAAACAAAAATGAAAAGTAATCTTAGCTATAACATTTTTTTTCAACCCCCCTCCTCCCCACTTCATTAATTTTTACAGGCATATGTTATTCATGTTTTATAGTGGTTATCTCTCTCCTTTCCCTCTATGAAAACAGTTTTATCTTTTCCCCTGTAACTGAACTAACAGATCATTAACTCTCCAGATCATCTCGCCTGACTCTGTCCCTATCCCCACTAGGCACCTGATCCAAGACACAACTTTCTTTTACGGCCCATAGAGAGGGCCACCCTCAGAGGGCACGACACTCCATCAAAGACAGGCGCCCGAGATACATGGGACCAAAATGCCTTTTTTAGGTGTCTACTTCTCTCCACTGAGAAGCCAGGTAATATAAACAAGCAGGCTGGAATGGGCCCTTAATTCATGACGAGCTTCAGGTCAACCATTCTACCTCCAGCAGCCACACAGAAGACAGACTAGCACAGAATGTGTAGACCAGAGGATTAGACATAATGTATTAAGAAAGTATGTATCAATCTAATTGTAGGTCTTAAGATACATTTTTTTAAAATGTAAACATGCAAATCGGAAGGATTAAGGCTGAATGTTCGATCTTATAATTAACATTTCCTGACTTAGTTCAGCACTTGTTGAAGCTGTACAATGAATATTCTTCATTTAAAGCTGTACTAAGTACAAAAACCTTCTCCTAAGACACAGCCATGGAAAGTTTGAAATCTAAATGCATACATGCACCACACTGCACTTTCTTTGCAAGTTAGATACTATAAATCTACATAAATCTACAGAGATAAAAAGTAACCTTCAGTACCAAGGTATTTAAGTGCAAATTATTTACTTCAGAATTCTTCTGCAAAAAGGAGGGAAGTTTATTCTCTGAGTTAGATTTCTGCCACTTTAGTTCTCTGAATTGCTTTACTGGGAGTACACAGGGGAGGAAATGGGAACATGTGGCTGAAGCCGTGGAGGGGGGGGAAGAACTGCAGCAGAATCAATCTGATTGCTGTAAACTGTACCTGATGTGCACTCTTGGGGAGAAGGCTCTCTTTCAACTCCGTATATGAAAACAGATTTTGTAACAGCAAAAGTTGATAAGGATAGGTTCTGGTTAACAATAATTTCCCATACTGACTAACTACCAACTTTTCAAAAACCTTCTTTGATGTTAATATCACATATACCAAAACCCATGCAAACAAAAAGAAGCATCCCATAAAACTAATCCTGTAGAATCCTGAACTGACAATGCCTATGGAACTACTGATGCTTTTAAAAACACACAAATAAATACACATACACACGCCTCCCCTCCTGGTGACCCCCTCTACCATTTACAAACATGACAAGCTTTTGTATTTCTTCTTGGGAAAGGTATTTCTTAGATGTACACAATGGATGCATAGAGAGTATAAATCCCACAAACCCAAGTACGGTGCATAAAAGATTAAAGCAAAGAAGCTTTATACACAGTTGGTTTTCCAATAACCCCAACAGGAACAGTCTCTCCAAAAAACCTAACTATCACTACACACATATATATCCCCGTTTATTGCCACTTGCTCTCCTCCACAAAGGCGTCAGGCACACAAAGAAGCAAATCGATAGCTTTTCTATCCTAAACGGTCAACACATGTCCCTATCTGTGGCCACTTATTGCTGTTGTGCTTTAACACACCTCCACATTCACAGTTATTTACACAAGATAAGAAGTGCTGGTTTCCAGAGCTGTCCTTTTTTGTGAAGCAGGATGAAGAGCATGAAGCAGGATTCTCATGGGTCAATGATCAAATAGGATAAATGCAGTTATGTTGGTTTTTCAGAAGAATGTAATGATGTGATTGTGTTTTAAGAGTGCAACCAGCAGCCACCGAATAATCTTACAAGATTGGAAGGTCTCATCTTTGAGCGTGTTGTAGGTAATTGCTTTGTAGGTTTTAAGTGAGGATTGCTCAACATGCAGCCCGAAGACCAAATGTAGCCTGCAGAGTCCTAAAATGTGGCCTACAGATGCCCTGTCCTTGTGACTGCAAGAGAAGGACAAAGCTGATCAACAGCAGATTACGTCGTATTGCTGACAAACACAATCAAACATTTTCTTTTTGCCCCTCCAAGCTGCACGTGCAAAACAATGCTATGATTATATGAGCTAACACCTTTTATACTGATAGCCATGAACGAATTAAAGGTGACCCTGCATTTTAAAAACTGTACACTGCAACTTCGCCATACTGAGATTTGGGTATTTGCCTGTGTAGGTACATCGACTGCTCAAATTATTCTCAGCCAATTCTATCTGCATGTATTTTATTCTGGAACAAATACTCAGGTGGGAAAATATATAATCCTGAAAAAAGCAAAGCAGTACTGGAATGACTCTCCCAGAATTGTTACTCGACTTTTACCAAGCAGAGAAGGCTCTGGGCTATTTTTCACTCTATGTCTTAAATATTATGAAGTGGAAAACCCCAAAAAGCATACCACTTGTTTGGTAAGTTGGTTATACATATATAAACGTGTGCCTGTGTAGCAGCACCATATGCTTATCCATCTATAATTTTCAGTTAAAAAAAAAAAACAAAAAAAACCCCAAAAAACAAAGACAGAACTATGGAAAATATTTCTGGTACTGTAGCGCTGCATTTTGAAAAGTATGTTCATTTGAGCACATGTACCTTCCAAGAGCCAATAATTTTTATTTTTTTTTTAAAGCAGAATTCTTTCAAACACAAATATTTATACTTCTCAGAGTAAAGCCTCACAAAGATAAGGATTTTTTTTCCTTGGACAACAATGTTTTAAGCACCTGCTGTTAAGGTCAAACTTCCATACACAACAATATTATTGGGACAGTTACATGCATGTCATTGAGGGAACAGCTTGCTGAACATTTCAAAATTAGATGTGAAGCCCTCCATGCTTAAACCAAAGAGTGAGATTTAAATCACAAAGAATATCTAAACATTTTCCTACCCTTATTATTCAACAGCTGATGTAAAACAAACGTGGGAGATCTCATTCCTTTTTTAAGGCAGATAAATGTTTCCACTGGTGACTGCAAAAGGATGCCTTACAACCTTGTCTGCAGCAGATACGAATCATGCAACAAAGAGAGTGCTAGCTAGACAGATGGGGAGATGTTATTTCTGCTGGTCAGGTGAGGAGTAAGCACTGGTTATGACAGAGCTGTAGGGTTGTATCCATTCTAGAAAATGCTAAATGGACTTCAGTCAGCAGCAGCGGGCAACAAACAAACCATCCCCTGGGCACGAACTCTCCAATACTTTCTGTATCGCCAGATAGTTAAATTCAAGAGTTCAGCTCTTTCTAGAGGGCTACGAAGATGATCAGAGGGCTGGAACACCTCTGCTATGGGGACAGGCTGAGAGAGTTGGGGTTGTTCAGCCTGGAGAAGAGAAGGCTCCGGGGAGACCTTATAGCCATTCCCTAAAGGGGCTGCAGGAAAGCTGGGGAGGGACTCTTGATCAGGGAGTGGAGCCATAGGATGAGGGGTAACGGTTTTAAACTAAATGAGGGGAGATTTAGATTAACTATTAGGAAGAATTTTTTTAGCATGTGGGTGGTGAGGCACTGGCCCAGGTTGCCCAGAGAAGCTGTGGCTGCCCCATCCCTGGAGGTGTTCAAGGCCAGGTTGGATGGGGCTTGGAGCAACCTGGGCTGGTGGGAGGTGTCCCTGCTCAGGGCAGGGGCGTTGGAACTAGGTGACCTTTAAGGTCCCTTCCAACCTCAACCATTCTATGATTCTTGTAGAGAAAATGAAGAAGATAATACAGGCCACCGTTTTCCATGGTATAAACTTAGATATGAACTAAAGGAATCTCCTTAAAATGGTTCTTTAAACAACTAAGAGTTTTACATCTGGCTCTATCAAGAGCACTGCTTCGATTTAACAAAATCTTTATATATCAACTTCCTCTGTTCAATCACAATGCAAAGTAATGGTCCATAGTAACGGAATGAGAAGGTTGGTGGTGCGCCTAATATTTGGGTTACACATTCCTCATTTGACTTGGTTTTAGCGTCATTTGGCAAGGACACTTGCAAATCAAAATTACTCAATTCTACTAAGAGATCTTGATTTAAAACCAATTACTTTAACTTCAAACAAATTACTGCAAGTGCATAGTTAATAAATTTATAAAAATTTATAAACAAGCAATTTATTTCCTCCTATTTTTCGAGATCTGAGTGCCTACCCATACCGGGGGGAAATTCTGCGAGACAGAAAACACTTGTTGTCTCGCCCAGCGGAACCGCACAAGGGGCAGGATGGCACGCTCCACCCGAGGACGTTCCTGTGCACTGCAACGATCCCAGCCCTGTAACGTAGAAGAGGAAGCTGCGCCGGCTTTAATCATGCTGCTATTCATGAAATGCGCTCTTCCTGGCTCACCGCCAGCCAGGTTTGATGGACTTAAACTCAGCAAAGAATCCGGCCCACACAATAATTCAAACCCAAAATGCCAGAACTGACTTTCTGGCTTGAGAGTTTTGTTTATTCCTTTGGCAAGCACTTGCTTCAAGGGCAGCAATGTTATGCATGCTTTGTGTAATTATACATAAGACATATATTATACAGAAGATACAGGCAGTAGTCAGGCA